GCAGAGCTTGCCTTGCCAGGTCCGGAGCCACCCTTTGTATTGAAAAACACAACACTTCGTGCGTCCGCTATCTGTCAAAAAACGCACTTTGCACGAGTCTTCCTTCCAAAACGCATGTTGAAGAGTAGAGCTAGAGCTAACTAGAGCGAGATTTACCTGGAACTAAAGCGAACCAGAGCTAGAGCTAACTGGAGTTAGAGCTACCTAAAGCTAGAGCTGACCCACAGAGCTAACTAAAGCTAGAGCTGACTGGAGCTAAAGCTGACTAGAAAGCCGACTGGAACTAGACTTATCTAGAGCTAGAGCTGTTGAAAGTCCGTAACGCGGAAGTTTTGCACCCTAAACTTCCTTTGAAAAGTTTGTAGCAGCTAGTGGAAGCTACCCAATCTGGAGAAGTCAGTCATTCTTGGTACCCACCCTACGGTGTGGCAGGTGAACAACACCGAGAAGGTAGCGCGGACGAATGGGATGACAAAGGCTGACATGCACCAGGCTGGGCGAGGGGAAGCCTGAGCTCATGACTTTTGACGATCAAACAAAGACCGACGATCATCGTTTTAGAGGCCATGAACGATCATCCAAATGAAACAGATCGTCCAAATGAAGCAGGTTTCGTGGTGGCAAAGCTATTCCATACCCTTCTTCGGCCGGTGTCTTGAAGATTCCTTTGGAGACTCTCTGGCCGGCATGACCACCTGCTTGTTGGTCAGAAGTGCTCGTTGGGTCCTGCGCAAGGGACGATTATTCTCATTCATGAAGTGCTGTGGACGGAAAGTGCTGTAATGCCAGCAGACAAACCACTGGTTGGTTGAAGCCATCTTCAGGTCCGGGAAGCTCCCACAGATCTGAACTCATGTTTGCACTGGTTGGGCCACAAAGGTGGGCTATATACCTAGAGGCACGAGCGAAGCGACAGGAATCCTCCCCGAGATTGTTACTAGTTCTGAGGGCGAAACCTGGAAATGTCAAGTTGCCAGGCGGAGTGGCAAAGCTCCCCCGACCGCCAAGCACAGTTGGGGCGCGCAAAAGTATGTATATAAAACAGTATAACAGTTTAGCACGCTGAAAGATGACTGACTACGGCACTTTTATGTCTTGACAAGTCATTTCAGATCTCACGTTTGACATCCTGTCACTGTCTGAGTTGTGCGCGTACTTTAAAATGAACAGCATACAGCATACATATTTGGTAAAACGATGCAAGAGGAGAACACCCTGCGATGCCCACACAGTAAACCCACTTATGTGTGCGGGCGCGGATAGTTAATAGTGGACAGTAGGCGCCAACAAAGCCAGAGATCACAGTCCCAATGGCGAGTTTCGGCCTAGGCCCATCGTGGCTCACGAGGTGGGTGTGCCCTAACGGCATGTGTCAGCGGTTTGGGTGTGTTCCGGATGGTTGGCAAAACTTAAAGCAATCGCAAAGGTTCCCCTGAGGCATCAACTTCCCCTCGTTTGTTTCCTTTGAAACTCTTGAAGCTAAGCAAGATACTCTTTTGTAAAAAGATGTTACAGGAATGAGGGTTTCTATGTTGTTAGTACAGGAGGAACCTGACTCGGACAAGGGCTGTCACACAATGGATGTTCAAGGGACAATTGGTTGATAGAATACACCAGCATCATGTCACACGCTCTGCTTATCCCCCATGCACTGTATGCTAAGAAAAACAACAACCAAACCAAACTATAATCACCTCAAAAACCTCCATCGACTAAAGAGCAGCAGACCAGGAGACCAAAGAAGAACCTCCTCCTTTGTGCTGTCACCACTTGCGAGGATGCCCAACTGGGGCCTTGGGCGGCTGTGCCAGCCACGTGGGCCGAATCGATGCCCAGGTAGCACCGGGTGGAGTCTATCAAAGCAACTTGTGGACCAGTGGGAAAAGAGTATAAGCACGGTAGTTCTTCCCCAGGTTCCGGACTTGTTTTGTCAAATCGTGGACTGCCACCCAGTGAACGTTTTCAGATCTTTTCAGCATGCTTGCATTTCAACTGGCCTTCTGGGCTCTTGGAGAGTTCAGACCTTTAAGCTCATGTATCTTCCAGAGAGCTAAGTGAGCACAATACTTGGGTTCCGGATTTTCACCGCACTATTTGGGTTACCCGGATTTGGGGTTGCGCGATTCCCGACCGACACTGCGGGAGACCATGCTGTGGCAGGGGCCGAAGTCAATCACCGACGGCAATCAAGCCCTGCGGCGAGCTTGGCGAACGAGTTCTTGAACCCGGTTGGTTCAGGCTAGCTAGAACCTGTCATCGCAAACAATCGCAAACAAGTCCTACTCAGAGTCACAATTTGTTGCACCAAGATGAGACTGATGACGTGAGGTCCCTTCACTGGTGATCTCCAGTACACGCAGCCTGAGCCTTGCTTTCTGACACTTCTTTCTTGCCGTTCTCAGCTGAAACGACTCGACCACTCGGCCTCATGAGCCACGTATCCGTATATGCTAAAGACGAGGTTTTCGACCCCGAAGATTGTTTCGGGGTCGAATCCATCACATTCCATCACCACAGAGAGCGGGACCATCGGTTCTATACATATAACACTATATACCTATATATCTTTTCAATATCATCTCGATGCATTTGAAGAGTAATGGACGGCCAGACACTAGAGCTTGAGTCACAGCATGTCACAGCTGTGAGCTCAACACCTGCGACGAACACGTTCTTTTGCGGGCCGTTTTGATGCTTACCACAACTTGTTGATGTTGCTTTATTGTAGGCGCCTGTGTGGAGAACGGTCCCCAGGTCTGAAGATGTTTGTACCGGGGTTTAGTGTCACCTGCTTTGTCTTTTCCCTTGGTGGGTTGCTGAACCCCTGGGCCTTTGGGTTCTGACTTCGGTCCTTTGCTCTGTTTGTTTGGGCTCAGGTTGTATCACTCTTCCTATTTGGAATAAGGAAATTGGAGGCCATTTTGTTCATGCATCTTGGTTTGGACAACTTGCACGTTTTACTTTTAGACCGCAGTGCATTTCTGTGATGTGACTGGTGCTCCAGTGGTGGCACTGCGGTTGTTGGATTTTTGCTTTCCGCTTTCTTGTGCTCACATGGCTTACGACGAAGCCCTTGGGGTAAGATAACATCTTGCTCTGCACTAACCACAGATGAAGTGGGAGCAGGGGTGCAGTGGGCTTTGCTTTGGGGCGTGTTTCCTGATGCAAATGGCCATGCCCCAGCTCTCTTTGAAGTGGAAACGTCCACATCCGGAGTCTTTGCCGTCCAATGACATTTGATTTGCGAACATCCAACTGCTGAGCCTGAGCTCAAGAAGTTGAAAGCACTTCGCAGTGTCTTTAGCAGACACCAGCGGGACCATCGACCAACAGCTGCAGAAGATGATGCTCGTCGAGTATCCACTTTACGGCAGTGGTGAGCAGCCACCATGTCAGTGCCTCATGCGTCAGCACTAGGACGCACCGCCCTCAAGGAAGGGGTCAATGTTGCTTGTTGACTCCATCGCAGACATTGTGTCTATGAAGTCCTGTGGAGCATTGGTCAAAAGATTGGGCGCTTTGCGAAAATTCCTGTTTTGGTGTTCCGGGACCAAGAACATACCCATTCCTTTCTGCGAGCAGACCATGTATACCAGTATGTCAAGCGCGTAGCTGACCAACAGGCTGCCGCCAGTTCTGCGTAATCATTTGTCGCGGCTGTGCGTTTCACCCATGGTATTTTTTGGTGTTGAGGGAGATCCGACAGTCGACCATGGTCAGTCGACCATGTGATCGTGTGTGAGAAAGTTTGTGTCGGCGCTCCAGCAGTATCGACTCTTAGCAGGGTCCATGCTTGTCCTATGCACGCTGCAGATTTGGAGACGGGCAGAGAGCCGAGTCCCTCATTTTGGATTTGATCGAAGACAAGCAGCGTTCCTATGATGGGTTCATTGAATTGTCGATTCGACATTACAGGATGGCAACCACCTTGCAGCGGAAACGGAAATTGCTGCCAGCGGTCGGCCCCATTTTTCGCTGTCGGGCCTGTCTTGGTTTAATGCGTGGGTGGACGCGCGCGCAGAATTGGGCTTGACCGCCAATTGAAGGCGCCTTTACGCCTAGCCTATGATGAACATGGCCTTCGGACAGCTTTTGCGATTTCCTCTACAGAAGGGGGCGTCGTCCCTCGAGAACTCTTACAGATCTCGGAGGGAGATCGGCCCAAATACACTTCAAAGACCGCCCTCTTGTATTGGTTAGCCAAGTTTGGCGTGGCCCGAAATTTTTGGGCTATCCCCCCCGGTGTTTTGCCCACAGAAACTTACTGCCACGATGCCATGGCTGCTCCCTTGCGCAGCCTAGTTCGCGTTTTAAAAGAGATTCGGGCGGGTCGCTTTCGTCCCGATATGACTTGCAGCGGTGTGTTGCAGGGGCCGCTGCTAGCTCGCCAAGAAGAGCGAGACGATGTGTCACTGTGGGGCCTCGGACTCTGACGCCGGATCCGAAGATCTGGAAGATGACACACCATTGCTTCCTGTGCCTGCGCGGCCTAAATTTCGTCAGCCTGCGGCGGGTTGGAAAGTTTCCCCGCAAATATTCTGGAGTCTGACTGGCCAAGATAACAAGCGCAGCCTGGAATGCGGCAAGCCGTTGTCCGACAACTTCGAACTTACTCAGGCCACCATCGCTTCTGCAACCAATTGCAAAGCGTGTTTCGCGGTGTCCAAGAACGCCGATGCACGAGTTCCTGTCACTGTGTAGATGACACGTATCCAACCGGAGGTGGAGAAGTCTTAATGCACTTGTAATGGTTACATTTGGCTCCAGGGTTGGGTGGGTAGGGCGTGACTTTGCCAAGGGAACTGGACCATGTTTCATCTGCAGATTCGTTCAAGATCTTGGTTCCTCGCCATGTGCTTTTCCTGCTGAAATGGAACCCAGACGGGAACCAAATATGGAGACTGCGTTGGATGAGTTTCGTGCGGCAAAGTCAGTCGATTGTCGTTCTTCTCAGCATGCCAACTTTCCGAAGGAAATAGTTGATCGAACGCTGTTTGAAGCTTTGATGAAAACTACCAAACTTACCAAGATAGTCATGCCTTGGGAGAAAGGCTTGGAAAAATGATTGTTTTGTGAAAGTGCCGGATTATCGTATTGAGAAACCTAGTGATTTCGATCAAGCCGCGGCCTCGGTTGAAGATGTGATTTTGATCAACCCGCGGCCTCGGTTGAAGATGTTGCAAGACAAGTCTTTGAACAACCTGCAGGTCCAGCATTCTTGAGCAGTGTCAGATTTCGCTCGCAGTGGAAAGCTGGTAATCGCGACGACAGACGAGATGAGGTTCAGCGTAAGTGGAGGCTGATTTACCTGCGCAATGTTGAGGCAAGCGAAATCTGTGAATCTCTGTCAGGTATGTTTGACGACAATATTCAGCTGCTGGGTTTCATTGGTCAAAATTTTGCTGAAAAACACAGCCGCTTTGGCTAAACGTGCAAACTCAGTTCCGAGGTTTTGGCAGCACTGTTCGGAAGGCCTTGGTACATATCCCTTCATACCTTTCAGAACCGTTGACGTGCAAAATTATCTTGCAACGTTGAAGCAACTGAACAAGCTTTCTGGTGTGACAGATTGCGCGCAGTGCTTAAACTTTTGCATCCACGTTGCTGGACTGCCAGCGGAGAATGTCAAAGAATCGCCGTGGGTGAGGGGCGTGACCCGAGACAGCTATTTGCATCGAAAAACCATCAGACAAAGCAGAACTCTGACGGTCAGTGAGGTAATCGCACGAGGGCTTTAAACCCCCCCGTCGAACCCTTCTTACAGGCCATAAAGAAGGATCCTGTGCTGCGAGGGCCTTAAAGAAGGATCCTGTGCTACGACGGCCTTGAAGAAGGATCCTGTGCTACGACGGCCTTAAAGAAGGATCCTGTGCTACGAGGGCCTGAAAGAAGGATCCTGTGCTACGAGGGCCTTGAAGAAGGATCCTGCGCTACGAGGGCCTTAAAGAAGGGAAGGATCCTGTGCTGCGAGGGCCTTAAAGAAGGATCCTGTTGTGCTTCGTGGCCACCCCCCTGTGCTACGAGGGCCGTGAAGAAGGATCCTGTGCTACGAGGACCTGAAAGAAGGATCCTGCGCTACGAGGGCCTTGAAGAAGGATCCTGTGCTACGAGGACCTTAAAGAAGGATCCTGTGCTACGAGGGCCTTGAAGAAGGATCCTGTGCTGCGCCCCCCCACCTCGAACTGGGAAAAGTAGTAGTAGCCATGACCACCCCTCCTCCCCCCGCTTTGAAAATTAGGACACCCGTCGGGGGCGGCCTCGTTGGTTTGGAAGCCCGAATGTGATGTGTTCAGGCGTAAAAGAACCGAAACTTTGCATTTGATCGCCAAAGGGAGTGCCTACGAAAACTTTGTGTGTGGCCGCAAGAAAAGCAATGACTTTGAAGTGTCCGTTGGCGCGATTTTCTCAGAGTCATCGAAGTGTAAACAATGTGACACTGGGAAACCTATCAGAGATCGCGGGGCCCCAGCCACTTCTTGAAGAGACAAAGGCTAGGCCCAGATGCGCCGCGAGTTTCACCTGACATGCTCCGAAAAGTGAAAACTGTTGAGTTGTGGATCGATTCAACTAACAGATTCTCGTTGTTCCACTTCAAGTCTGGGCAGGTGTTTCGA